TGTGTATATATATATATATATATAACTACGTATATAGTATGTGTGTGTGTGTATATATAACTATATAGTATGTGTGTGTATCTATATAGTATGTGTGTGTATATATATAGAACTATATAGTATGTGTGTGCATATATATATAAAACTATATATATAGAATGTGTGTTTATATATATAGTATGTGTGTGTATATATAACTATATATATAGTATGCACATATTATATATATATAACTATATATGTAGTATGCATGTGTATATATATATATAACTATATGTATAATATGCATGTGTGTGTATAACTATATTTATAGTATGCGTATCTGTATATATATAACTATATATATAGTATGTGTGTGTGAATATATATATAGTCATATATATATAGTGTGTGTGTGTGTATATAGCTATATACAGTATGTGTGTGTCTGTATAGATATATATAAAACTATACATATAGTATATGTGTGTGTATATATATAACTATATATATAGCATGCATGTGTGTGTATATATAAAACACTATATATAGATTATGCATGTGTGTGTATATGTATAACTATATATAGTGTGTGTGTATATATATAGTATGCATGTGTGTATATATATAGTATGTGTGTGTGTATATATATAACTATATATAGTATGTGTGTATATATATATAACTATATATATAGTGTGTGTGTCTGTATATATAACTATACATATAGTATGCATTTGAGTGTGTGTGTATATATAACTATATATAGTATGCATTTGAGTGTGTGTATATATATATAACCATATATATAGTATGTGTGTGTGTGTATATATAACTATATATATAGTATGCATGTGTGTGTATATATATAACTATATATAGTATGTGTGTATATGTATATAACTATATATATAGTATGTGTGTGTGTATATATATAACTATATATAGTATGCACATGTGTATTTATATATATAACTATATATAGTATGTGTGTGTATATATAACTATATATAGTATGCATGTGTGTGTATATACATAACTATATATATATAGTATGTGTGTGTGTGTCTCTCTCTATATATAACTATATATAGTATGCATGTGTGTATATATATATATAAAATTATATATATAGTGTGTGTATATATAACTATATATAGTGTGTGTGTATATATAACTATATATAGTATGCATGTGTGTATTTAACTATATTTACAGTGTGCGTGTCTGTATATATATAACTATATATATAGTATGTGTGTGAATATATATAGACATATATATAGCATGCATGTGTGTATATATATATAACACTATATATAGATTATGCATGTGTGTATATGTATAACTATATATAGTGTGTGTATATATATAGTATGTGTGTGTATATATATATAGTATACGTGTGTATGTATGTATATGACTATATATAGTGTGTATAGATAAATAACTATATATAGTATGTGTGTGTATATATATATATATAACTATATACAGTATGTGTGTGTGTATATATATATATAAAACTATATATATAGTGTGTGTATATATAACTATATTGTGTGTGTATATATATTACTATAGTATGCATGTGTATATATATATAAAACTGTATATATAGTATGCGTGTGTGTGTATATATAACTATATATATAGTATGCATTTTTGTGTATATATATATAACTATATATAGTATGCATGTGTATATGTATAATTATATATATAGTATGCATATATATATAACTAATATATATAACTATATATATATAATATGTGTGTGTGTTTGTATGTAAATAGGTCCAATAGGTCTTAACTAAAAAGCCATGTTTCTGGCTTTCCCTGAAAAACTGGACGGGCCAGGAAGGGAAGTGCACCCTGGCACAGAGGCAGGGGGACGGACTCAGGGACTTCTATTATGAAGCAAAATAGCTGCTGTCCTAGCAATAGCTTGAAAAGGCCAGGAGGTTACTGAGTGCCTGGGCAGGTGGCTTTAGGTTACCAAGGTGATAGCAAGGACTGTGAGTCCCACCCTGGACAGCTGTGATGGAGCAGGAAACAAGGTACTTAGAGTGCAATGCTCAATGGGTGACAGAATCTGCCGACTCGGGCTGAATGCCCACACTCTGCCTGCAGGTAGCCGAGGGAGGCAGCTCAGGATCGGTGGGGTCCCCTGCGTCCTGCCTGGGTGATGCCCACCGCTAGCCCCAGAGACCACCTTCCCATCTGTGGGGAGTTGGCATGGAGCCTGAGTATGCCCAGCTTCTGGTCTTGTGCTCAGGGAGTCAGGCGACACTGAGAAGGCCCCACAGCCTTTGGGCTGGGCCAGGTGGCCTCATGGCTCTAGATCAGTGAGGCCAGGCTTCCTGGCTCCAAGCCAGGCATGCAGCGAGGTGCCCGAGGCTGCGGCTGGCAGGGCAAAAGGAGTGTGCCCACCTTGTGGTGACTCGCGCTCAGGCACTGCTCTGGACTGGGTTTCGCACAGGCTCCTGGGGGGTGGAGGTCTCTGGTCTGTCTTTATGTGACTTTGAGAAGGGACCTGCAAGGATCACAGGCTTTGGACTCAGATGGACTTGGGTTTGAGTCCTGGTTTCGTTACCAGCCTAGTGACTCTGCATAGGTCACCTAACCAGTGTTTACTGCTGTACATAGCACATAGTAAGTGCTCAATTAATTCATTTAAAAATATTTACCGCATGCCAGGCACTATGAAAGATACTAGTGATATAGCGGTAAACGGAACAGTTGCACTTTAAATTAACTATTTTATACTCCGTGCTTCAGTTTTCTCACCCTTAAAATGGGCCTAACTATAAATAAAATCCCTGGCCGAGTTACATAATTAGCCTTACTGGGGATAAGGAATTCATATCAAACACCGTCTGAGTGCTTAGGTGTTATGCCCCGGCAGTGAGTCTGCTTTGTGGCAGGCTGGGACTCATGGAACAAAATTCCTTGACTGACTTCTGTGTGTTACACACATAATACTTTACCCAGGTCACTTCATTTAACTCTTACAGCAACTCATTGGGGCTGGGCTGTTACTCTGCCCATTTTACAGATGAGGAAGCCGAGGCTCAGGAAGGCGAAGCCACGTGCATCCGTTCATGCACTTATTGACCGACTCACGGAATATTTACCGAGACTTCTCCATGCCAGGCCGGGGGCCATGCTGGGGGTGTGCAAAGGGCCAAGGACGTGGCCCTCCGGAGTCGAGAGAGGGACAGGCAGACAAGCGATCACGCCCCAGTGGGACCAGGGTGAAGGTCACTCGTAATCCGAGGTGGGATGTCAAGGAAGGGTTCTCAGCAACCACACTGGGAAGTGATGAAGGACGGGCAGACCCTCCGCGGGGGGAGAGGGGGGAGAAAGGAGAGGGAGGCGGCGACCAGTACTCTGGGCAGAGGGAACTGCATGGGTGAAAGCCTGGAGGCCAAAGAAGGTTCGGCTCAAGGGGAAGCAGACAGACTGTATAGTTGGGGGCTGGGCAGGAGCAGGCAGGGGCAAGCAGGGCTGGACAGGGGCTCTGGAAGGTCCATCCCTGGAGCTGGGGTGGAGTGGAGAGAGGCATGAACTGAGGTCAGTAAGCAGGGCCGATCACAGTCTGACCTTGGCCTTTGTGTGACGTCACAGGGTATGCATGGGGACTAGATGACATCTTCAGTGCGAGGGGCCTGGGCAGACACACGCCAGGGTCTTAGCAAGGGCCAGTCATCCTCTGTCCTCCGCAATGGGGCCCACTCTGAAAACGTTATTTAAGCAATTCTGCCCCCTGGTGGCGAACTGGATAACTCATTTCTGACGCCTCCCAGGGCTGGAGTCATCTTATCCATCCTCCTGCCCCAGGCGAAGGCTGCAGAGCATCCCAAGGAAGGACTCTGCCCCTTCCCAACATTTTTCTTCTTTTTTTGGTTCTAGCACTTTCTTCTTGCAAACAACTTCTGAAGTCTCACTCTTGTCCCTACCACACTTTTTTTTTTTTCCAGTTTGCTATGAAGTGCATGCACTTGCCCAGGACAGAGAGAGAGAAAGAGAGAGAGAAAGTGAGAAATCACCCCCCAAGGGGACAGCCACATCGCAAACCCGTCTCCTCTATTTTCCTCTCGGGATTCTGAGCACACGCACCCAGCACGAGTTTTAGGCCACTGGGTCCGGGACTCGAACTGTGTGGGAGTCCAGCAACGTAACCATTACATCTGCTGTTCCCTAGTGTGTTTTTCAGGCTGCTGGGTCTGGGACTCAAACTGTGTAATTGGCCATGTGGGATCCAGCGCCTTACCCTCCACACCATCTGCTGGTCCTCATATCACTACTCTTAACGATATCCTTTAAAATCGCCAACACTGAATATTAAAATAATAGAAACACGAGAAGAGTGTTCCCCACAATCCCACCCCATTTGAATCAGGGTCTTCATCTGCCACTGCTTGGTGAGTGGACATCCCCGTCTGTCTGGGGCATAGTCAGGTTCACACAGGTAGGATGCAGGGGTGAAGACAGCCGGAGTACATGGATGAACGCCTTCACTTACTGTCCTGGGCCTCAGCTTCCTCACCTGTAAGATGGGCGTAGTAATAGTCCCAAGCCCAGGGGACTGCTGTCAGAATTAAATCAGGTGGGACCAGCAAATGGCGTAATGGTAACATCACTGGACTCCCACGTAGTCAACCGCGGTTTGAGTCACAGATCTGGCAGCTCGAAACTCATGCCGGGCGCGTGTGCGTGCGTGCCCAGGATCCTGAGAGGGGAATGGAGGAGAAGGGATTGCGATGTGGCCATCCCCCTGGGGGGTGATTTCTGGCTTTCTGTCTCTCTGGCAAGTGCACATGCCCTATAGCAAAATCTCTTTCTCTCTCTCTCTCTCAAAAAAAAAAAAAAAAAATTAAACGAAGCCTTGAAGGAAATAAGGGAGTTAAAGACAAGGCTGCTTACGGGGAGAGTGTCTTTCTCCAGCAAGCACATGCGCCCTAATGGCAAAAACCTAAGAGAAAGAAAATGACATTTGAGTTAACCCTGAAGGCCATGAGCGAGTAAGCCACAAGGCTGTGGGAGTGGACAGCAATTCTGGGGAGCACGTCCAAAGGCCCTGAGGCAGGGGTGTGCCTGGCGTGCTCGGGGGCCAGCTTGGTCAGGACTGAGCAAGCAGAGAGCGCCAGGAGAGGGGAGGGCCGCAGCCTGACATGACTTCAGCTCCTGTGGGCTAGACGGCAGCTGTCGAGGGCTGGCCTGCACAAGGCTGTGGGCCGGCACCCTCTAAGCTGGCCTCCCTTTGCTAAGACTGTGGGGGGCCTAGGGGGAAGGAGACAGGCTACCGGGTTCCCAGCTGGGGGAGGTTGCTGACAAGTGGTGACCGAGGGCAGGGGAGGAAGCCTGAGGTCTGTCCTGAGTGAAGGCAGAGGTGCCGATGAGAGGCAGGCTAGCAGCTCGTCCCCGCGGAGCTGAAGCTGGACGAGTCAGGGCAAGAGTGGACCCTTTCAGTAACACGTGTGAAGGGCATCTGCTGTACAGACGGCCCTTGTCCGAGGTTCTGTTCACGGGCAGGGAAGGTAGAGCATGTCCAGAGTATAATAAGGTATTTTGACTTGTTTCTTTTTAAGAGAGATTTTTGCTGTCAGGCATGTGCGCTCACCGGAGAGAGAGAGGTAGACAAAGAGACAGAAAGCAAAAAATCATCCCCTGGGGGGATAGCCATGCTGCAGTCTCTTCTCCATTCTCCTCTTGGGATTTTAGCACACACATACATGCACCTGCCGCGAGTTTCAAGTCACTGGGTTTGAGATTTGAGCCAGTCAACCACGTGAGAGTCCACTGACATAACCACTATGCCATCTGCTGGTTCTGACTTTTTTTTTTTTGGAGAGTTGTTTTTTTTTTTTTTTGAGGGTTTTTTTTTTTTTTTTTTTTTTCCTATAGGATGTGTGCACTTGCCAGAAAGACATAGAGAAACAGAGAGACAGAAAGTAAGAAATCACCCCCCACGGGGTTGGTCACCCTGCAGTCCACTCTCCTCCATTCTCCTCTTGGATCCTGGGCACACACGCACAGGTGCCTGGCATGAGTTTAAGCCACTGGGTCTGGGACTTGAACCACGGTTAACTACATGGGAGTCCAGTGACATAGCCATTATGCCAACTACTGGCCCCTTGGTTCTGACTTTTTTCAAAAAAGATTTATTTATTTAATTTCTATTCATTATTATTATTATTTAATTTGACCAGAGAGAGAGAAAAGGAAAACGAGAAAGCAAGACGCCAGGTCTGGAACTTGAACCATGGTCAGCCATGTGGGAGTCCAGACCCTTAACCACCATGCCACCTGCCAGCCACCAGGGCATTTTGCCTTTTGAGGTCATGTCTGTAAACCGTCTAGCCTCAGCTGCCTGTCTGTGGGCGGAAACACTATCTTGCTGAAGGCGGTGTCAGAGGAAGGCGGTGCCCTCCTGGGCACGACCCCTCCCACAGCTCAGCAACTTGGTTCTACTGCTCTGTTTCCTGCTTGGAGCCCCCCCTCCTTTCCATCTCAGTCCCCTGTCCCCTCCCGCTGCTGGAGCCCCTGGGGACACAGAGGACCAGGGCGGTGGCTCTCCCACTCTGTGTGGGGATCAGATACTTGCTCGAACGCAGACTCCTGGGCCACACCCTCAGAGACTGCGAGGTGTACAGTGTCAGGGCCCAGGACTCCGCAGTGAGGCAAGCAGCAGCCCCTGCCAGAACCTGACCACAGGGTCCAGACCTCACACCTGGGGACATGCTGAGCCTCAGGGACTGCCATGTTCTGAGCTGAGACTGTGTCTGTCCCTTGAGTGAGAAGTCCACCAGGCTTCAGTTCCTTGAGCCTCAGTTTTCTGCGGTGGGAAGGAGGACCCACTCGGAGGGCTGGTGAGGCCTGTGGGGGCTGCACGTGAGTGCCTGAGGGACGACAGTGCACCGTAGGCACGAGGTCACTGCCTGCTCCCCGCTGTCAGGTCCAGCGGCCGGCGCATGTCCAAGGTGGTGTGGAACTTCCTGCGGGCCCAGCAGGTGCAGGCGCCTGTGCAGCTCTACTCGGACTGGCTCTCCGTGGGCCACGTGGACGAGTTCATGACTTTCGTGCCCACCTCCGACCAAAAGGTACGTCCTCTCCCTGCTTGTCTGAGCCACCCCTGACCTGGTGGGACCGGCCAGGTGAAAGCCACCTGGAACCAGCTCAATCCTGTGTCCAGACTGGGCCTGGAGTCAGGCTGTGTTAATGGTGGGAAGCTTCCTGGAGGAGGCCTCGGGCCAGGGTGTACTCACCTGCTCACTGCTCACACGCTCATTCTCACACTTACTGTGTGTCTGCTTGGACCTGAGTCCCTCTGCCAGGAGCCAGGGATGACGGTGGTACTAAATAGTATTATTTACTAAACACCTACTATGTGTCAAACTCTGCATGTGTTTGATTCATTTAATCCTCCAAGAAACCCGGGAGGTGAGTGCTATTATTATTGCTCTCATTTTACAGGTGAGGAAACAGTCTTGGAGGAGCCATTAACTCACCCAAGGTCACACGGTCCGGTCTGCAAGTGGCAAAAAAGGATTCAAAGCCAGATGTGGGTTCAGGGATTCTGCATTGACCACTGGGCTTGCGGCCATGAGGAAGTGATTGTGGTGGGCGTGGCACTCAGGAGGCGGGAGGAGGACCTCCCAGTGACCAGTGACCACAGCTCCGAAGGGCACTCTGCCAGTGAGGAGGGATGCACCTGAACTGGGTCTGAGAGGGACGAAGCAGCGCTCCCTGGTGGGCAGAGTGGGAAGTGCCTGCAGGCAAACAGCAGGGACAGGGCCCAGGGGTGGGACCCAACTTAGAGGACTGGGGAACTGCAGAAAGTTCCCTGTGGTTGGCGGTTGGCAGTGAGGGCATGCGGGCAGTCTCCTGCACAGCCTGGCTCCTGCACTCAGACCCCTCCTGAATTTGGGGAGAACCTGTCTGCTGAGCCGTTCTCCCTTCCTCCGCGGCAGGGCTTCCGGCTGCTCCTGGCTAGCCCCAGGGCTTGCCTCAAACTGTTCCGAGAGAAGAGCGAGGAGGGCTACGGGGAGGCAGCCCAGTTTGATGGTGAGTGTCAGCGACTGGTCGCCTTGCCCTTTGGTCACCAGCCCTGGGCATGGTGATTCCCCTGGGCCCAGCCCCTTCACCTGCAGCTCTCTCACGGGCTTGATGCCCACCAGCCACTGTGGGAACTAAGGCTGAGGGCTCTGCTTTTCGAGGTCAGGAGTGGGAAGCCAGGCTCCACGGATTGCCCTGGGCCTCTGGGCCAGGCTGTGCCATGCACATTTGCACCCTCACCCTGTCTGATCCCCCGTCCCTCATCCCCTCCACAGAGGAGGAAGCTGAGGCTCAGAGAGAACTTGCTTGCACAGGGCTCTGACGCCAGAGAGCCACAGGCTGGGGCCCCGAGAGGGAGGGCAGGAGCCAGGACCCCCGTGGAGACGTCTTCAGGGACTTCCAAGGATCTGGGTGGCCCCTCAAGCACCCCTCTCCTTCCCCATGGGCCTCAGCGTTCTCTCTTGAGGAACGGAGCACTGGTGGGGACATGGGGTAGCCCTCTGCATGGATGAACCCAGGATCAAGGGTGTGTTCGGACTCTCCCAGTCCCTCGGCTTCTCTGAACTGGAAGTGACAATTAACCCACCTGGATCATTGTAAGATTAATAATAAATTAAGGAAGGTCCCCAGAGTGTGGTGGGCGTTTAGTAATGGTAGCTGAGCCATAATTATTAGCCCTGGAGCCAGGAGGCCCTTCCCAAGGGGTTTCTAACCCATCAGCAGGTTTCTCCACCGCCGGGCCTCGTCCCAGTTCACCACCGGGCCTCGTCCCAGTTTCAGTCTCTGGCTTTCTCCATTCTGACTCTGTCCTTGGTGCTGAGGTGGGAGGAAAATACCGGCCGGATTTTTCAGCCTCAGGCCCCCACCCCCAGGTGGCCCAGGGAGCACTGCCTGAGTCCAGTGCTGACCGCCTTTCTCTCGCAGGGTTAAAATATGAGGACAAGAGAACCATTAATGAGATGCTAGCGGACAGACAGCTCCAGAGCGACAGTCGGTATGCACAGGTGAGGGCAGGACCACCGACTGCCTGAGGGGTCCTCCACCTCCAGGGAGAAGCAGCCCCAGGAGCTGCCCAGGTGGGTGGGGGACTTGGGCCTGGGTCTCTGACTGTCCTGGGGGCTGCTGGGACATGTGGGTAGGATAGAGCCTCTGGTCTCGGGAGCCCACAGTCTGATGGGAGAGACAGCCATGGCCTCAGGGAGCTCCCGGCCTGGCGAGGGAGACCCTGCCCAGTCAGGAAGTGGCCCATTTCCATGGAAGCAAACCTGAGTCTCATCTGAGACTGGAGAAACGAGAGCGTTGTGGGGAAATGGGGCCTTTGCCTGGCAGCGTGAACGGGTGCACCAGGCCCCTAGTGCGAAGCATCCTGCAGGACAGCCCACACCACAGAGGGCCTCCCTCCCCCCACCTCTTCCTTCCTCCCTCCCCACCTCCATGCTCCCTAAATCGAAGAAGAATGCGGGTTTGGTTCCGAATGTTTCAGGCCTCCATTCTGGGCTTTGCTGCCTGCTGGGCAACACTGCCTGTCTAGGGCAGGCTGGCAGAGTCTGGGGGCTCTGTAGACCTCTCCAGGGCTTGGGCGGGTGGGAGGCAGAGACTCCTGTGAGGCGGACAGGCGGGACAGAACCTGGCCCCAAGGGCAATGCCCGTGGGGTCATGGTGCAGGGCCCCCACACTTAGTAAATGGGGAGAGGCCACTGCACCCGTTCCCCACCAGCCTGGCACTTTCTCCTGAGCCTGGGATGGGGCGGGAGCATACACCTCGCATGGCTGTGACGGCTGTGGCTGGGACCATGTGTAGTGGTGAGGAAGACTTGGGACTGAAACCGCCCCGGTCCAAACCCAGCTCTGCCACTTCCTGGCTCTGTGCTGTGGGGCAGGCCCCGAGCCTCGGTTTCCCCAGTTGGGGACAGGCTCCTACTGCACAAAACTGTCCCAGGCTCAGGGGATCCGAGGCTCAGGGGTCTGCACGGACTGGTGTCCAGCAGGTGCCTGGGGAGCTCTGGGTCCTTTCTCACCTCTGGGGTGCTCTCCCCTGACCCCAGAAATGCATCGACTGGAACCGCGACGTGCTGAAGCAGGAGCTGGGCCTGGTCGAGAGCGACATCATCGACATCCCCCAGCTGTTCTCCGTGAGGGACTCCTACGCCGAAGCCTTCTTCCCTGACATGGTGAGCGTCCCTTGGCCCAGGTGTGGTCTGGCGGCGTGTCTGCCGGGGCCAGAGGAGACATGGGGACAGGCCACATGCCCATTGAGGGTGGTCTCATCCCCAGAGAGCTTTGGCTGTTTCCATGAGGACAAGGGGCGCTCCAGGCTCTGGTGCGAAGTCTCCTATCAGGCACGGGCAGCCCCCACCCAGGGCTTCTTTTCCTTCCAAGTGGCAAAAAAGCACACGGTTTGGTTCCAGATGTTTCAGGCTCTGTCTCTGGGCCTCAGCTGGCTGTGCTGTTCCTCACTCTGGGCCCCACTCGGTGCTCCTGAGCTGGGTAGGTGGCCTGCGGCAGCCTCGTTAGCCAGGCAGCTGACAGGCAGGTGAGCAGATGTGCCCTCACCTGCGTGTCACCTGGGAGGGCCCTAAGCGATGCTATCAGGGCAGGCCTGGCCAAAGTGCTCATTAACTCCTTGGGAAGAGCTGTCAGGGTGTTGGCAGCTGTGAGGGGTGGTCTCCCGAGTGGGGTTGGACCCTTTCTCTGCAGACAGGGGTCTTTAACTTGAGTCCCTCTCATTGGACAAGCCAGGTTGGAAGTGACTCCCAGGACCAGGGTGCAGATTGGAGGCAGGTGTGGGGGGCCTGCATTAGTTCCTGACCCCTCACTGAGGGGTTCCAGCTCAGGCCTGGCAGAGACCCTCCCCAAGGCAGGCTCTCTCCATCTGCAGAGCTACTGCTATTTGGGGCTGAACAGTTGTCGTGGGGGGCCGTCCTGTGCATCGCAGGAGGTTTAGGGGCATCCCTGGTCTCTATTCACCAGATACCAGAATGTTCCCTAGTTGTGGCAATTAAAAATGCCCTGGGAGCAAAACTGCCCACAATCAAGAACCACTGCTTCAGAACCAGCAGTTAGCATAATGGCTATGTCGCTGGACTCCCACGTAGTCGACCGCAGTTCACGTCCCGGACCCGGTGGCTTAAAACTCACGCCTGGCATGTGTGCGTGCGTGCCCAAGATCCCAAGAGGAGAATGGAGGAGAAGGGATTGTGGCGTGACCATTTCCCCTGGGGGGTGATTTCTCGCTTTCTGTCTCTATGTCTCTCTCTGTCTGTCTGGCGAGCGCACACGCCCTGTAGTGAAAACCTCTCAAAAAAAGAACCACTGCTTCAAGGTAGCACTGTGTGCTAGGACTTCCTGTGATGTCAGCACGTCCGGTCTGCACAAGGCAGTATGGAGTGGCCTTGCGGCAGCCTCGTTAGCCAGGCAGCTGACAGGCAGGTGAGCAGATGTGCCCTCACCTGCGTGTCACCTGGGAGGGCCCTAAGCGATGCTATCAGGGCAGGCCTGGCCAAAGTGCTCATTAACTCCTTGGGAAGAGCTGTCAGGGTGTTGGCAGCTGTGAGGGGTGGTCTCCCGAGTGGGGTTGGACCCTTTCTCTGCAGACAGGGGTCTTTAACTTGAGTCCCTCTCATTGGACAAGCCAGGTTGGAAGTGACTCCCAGGACCAGGGTGCAGATTGGAGGCAGGTGTGGGGGGCCTGCATTAGTTCCTGACCCCTCACTGAGGGGTTCCAGCTCAGGCCTGGCAGAGACCCTCCCCAAGGCAGGCTCTCTCCATCTGCAGAGCTACTGCTATTTGGGGCTGAACAGTTGTCGTGGGGGGCCGTCCTGTGCATCGCAGGAGGTTTAGGGGCATCCCTGGTCTCTATTCACCAGATACCAGAATGTTCCCTAGTTGTGGCAATTAAAAATGCCCTGGGAGCAAAACTGCCCACAATCAAGAACCACTGCTTCAGAACCAGCAGTTAGCATAATGGCTATGTCGCTGGACTCCCACGTAGTCGACCGCAGTTCACGTCCCGGACCCGGTGGCTTAAAACTCACGCCTGGCATGTGTGCGTGCGTGCCCAAGATCCCAAGAGGAGAATGGAGGAGAAGGGATTGTGGCGTGACCATTTCCCCTGGGGGGTGATTTCTCGCTTTCTGTCTCTATGTCTCTCTCTGTCTGTCTGGCGAGCGCACACGCCCTGTAGTGAAAACCTCTCAAAAAAAGAACCACTGCTTCAAGGTAGCACTGTGTGCTAGGACTTCCTGTGATGTCAGCACGTCCGGTCTGCACAAGGCAGTATGGCGGCCGTGGAGCCACAGGTCATTACGGGGCACTCGGAGTGCGGCTGGTGTAGACCAAGAACAGAAACTTTCATTTAATTTAGCTTAATTTCATTTTAATCTGCTGCACTCCAAGGTATTATCCAGCTCTGACTGAGAGTCGGGGGTGGGCCTAGGCTGGAGCCCCTGCCTTGGTCAGCTCTTCTTGAGCTGTGGCTAGCCCCTACTGGCTGAAAGCCTGCTGCCCCACACACATTGGACCTACCTATGGGAATGTTCTGCCTCGGGACCAGCAGTTAGCGTAACGACTATGTCGCTGGACTCCCATGTAGATGACCGCGGTTCGAGTCCTGGACCCAGTGGCTTAAACTGGGTGCGTGTGCGTGCGTACCCAAGATCCCAAGAAGAGAATGGAGGAGAGGGGATTGCGGCATGGTCATTCCCCCTGGGGGTGATTTCTCGCTTTCTGTGTCTCTGTCTCTCTCTGTCTTTCTGGCAAGCACACACACCCTTATAGCAAAAACCTCTCAAAAAAAAAAAAAATCCCGCCTTTAGTCCAGGTTCCGCTAAAAGGTCCCAGAATACCTCACTGGAAGAGTCCTAATTTGTCAGATGGGAAAACTGAGGTCTTCAGGACAGTGAGCGACTTAGTGACTTGCCTGAGGTCACACTGGAGTAAGTGACAGAGCTAGACAGGCCGCACTCTCCTGACCCCTTTTTCAGGAGAAGCAGGGCCTGGCTGGTCACGGGGCTGAGTCTGGCTCGTTGCTCCTCTCGCTGCCCTTGGTCCCTGTACCACCCCCTCCTCCAGCACACCCTGGCCCGTTAGTGGGCACCTAGCTCAGGGCCAAGGCTGCGGGACTGACCCCAGGCCCTGTCCACTAGCTTTATGTTGGTCCTGGCCACAGATGGCTTTGCAGGGCAGACTTGAAGGGTTGGAGGTGGGGCATGGGGCTTTGAAGGCACAGAGTCCAGGATAGCCCACCCCACGCTGACATGACCTGGGACCACCCTCTAGACAGTAGGTCCAGAGTCCCCTAGGAGTGCCAAGGGCAGCCTAGTGACCTTTGCCATTAATCTGGGGCTGAGATTTTTTTTCTAAAAAACCCCCACACCCTTGCACTGAGGAGACTCTCCTTCCTTAGGGTTTGGGCCCCAAGCCAGGTCCACAGCCAAGGGATGCAGAGGTACCACTGGAGAAATTCCGGAGTCCTCAGGGGCCCCTTCCTCCAGCTCCTCGGCCCCGCAGGTGGTTGGAGTGCCACTCTGACAAGGAGTACAGGGCGTGGATTTCGGCATGAGCCAGAACCAAGGTCAAGGTTCAGGCTCACTGTTCTCTGGCTATGTTGACCGTGTATGTACCGACATGTATGTACGATGGCCTTCTTCACATGCTTTGGCTGTCCGAGTCACAGCCTCCCTGAGTTCAGTGATGACATATCTCGCACAAGGAAGACGCTCGGTAAGGGTGGTCACGACCACCCAGGATAGCGGAGCCCGCCGTATTCCACTCAAGCACACCACGCTCACGGCATTCACACCGCACGCCTCGTCAGTGTGTGCCTGTGTTGGGCAAGTTTCTAGCAGCCGACTGTAAAATCTCTTGTTCTAACAAAATCATTATCATTTGACGCCTTTCTGACTGGAGGAAGAACGTGCTGGAAGAAGCCGGTGACTCGATTCATACAAAGGTCCTCCATCCATCCCGGGCAGCGCTGGCTGGAACGGCCCCTCCCTCCCACTCACTCATCCATTTCTTCTCTGCTTCTAGACACCTAATTCTTGGTTGAGTCCTGGTGCCGGTGGTCCAGGGCTGTTGGCGGGGACGAGCCGGGCCGGGCCAGGGATGGGTCCACAGCAGCCGCGGTGCAGAGGGGCCCCGTGCACAGGGCGTTTGCAGGCAGCCCAGCCTCCCTCTTGCCTTCTGTCTTCCGCAGGTGAACATGCTGGTGCTGGGCACGCACCTGGGCATCCCCAAGCCCTTCGGGCCCATCATCAACGGCCGCTGCTGCCTGGAGGAGCAGGTGCGCTCCCTGCTGGAGCCGCTGGGCCTCCACTGCACCTTCATCGACGACTACCTGTCCTACCACGAGCTGCTCGGGGAGATCCACTGCGGCACCAACGTGCGCCGGAAGCCCTTTCCCTTCAAGTGGTGGAACATGGTGCCCTGAGCCCGCTCCCCAGCCTGCCCTCCCACCCTCCTGCGGGGCAGCCGTACCAGGGCGGGTGTGCGGAATGTGTCCCGACCTCCATCCTCCTGGGGGCTTTGGCATGCCCGCCCTGTGCCTGCAGACGTGCTGGCCACTGTGGACACAGGGGCACGTCCTCGCCTCTGGAGGGGACAGCCTGCCCCCAGAACGACAGCCTCATGCCACCCTCTCCCCTTCCCCACCCTCGGCCCCAGAGGTTCTGGAGGAGACCAGCAGTCTTGGCGTGTTCAGGCATGGCTGTGCACGGCCTCAGCAGTTGGCCCCACTCTGAACTGCTCCTCTCTGTTCCGATGCCTCCCTGCGGCATGAGGAGGGCGGCTCTGTGTCTGTACTGGAGCGGAGCCCAGAGGGCCGGGGCTCTGCTGTGAGGGCCCGTTTCCAGGCCGCCTCTGGCTCCCCTGAGGCTAGGAAGAGACAGGAGGTAGCCTCTTCCCTCTACTGTTGTCTTTTCCCAGAGGGAACCACAGACTGTGAACCCCACCCTGACACCCCTCAGCTGGACGTCATCACACAGGACAGGAAGGCCCAGCATCTGAGGACCTATTGTCAAAAGGGAAAAGGGGGAAACAAAAACTTGCTAATACCTGACTCCATCCTCGGAGGGTGCTTGTTACCTGTCTGGGAAGTCTTTAATTACGAGAGCTGGCCGCTTCCGCCTGAGAAATGCTGAGAGGCCAAAGCGAGGCCGGGAGGATGCACGGGAGGACTGGGCAGGCGGCGAGCCATGCCAGCAGAGGGCTGAGCACATACCGAGGATCGTGGGGCCTAGGGGCATCCATGTCCTGGGCTTCGATCTGGAGAGAGCTGGCTGTTCCAGATGTAGCAGGGGCAGGGGCCCAGATGTTAGAGGAGGGTGGGGGACCATTAGGTTATCTCTGAAGGTGGAGTTTAATTGCCATTAATAGTCTTTAATTATTCCCCTCGCTCTGCCGGCAGTGGGAGGGGAAGGCTTGCCCAGATCCTCTGGGCAGTCCGTGGGCCCTGCACGTAGCTTGGGTTGGGTTTTGCCTGCCCCGTGGCAGGCGGTAAGCCCTCCCGAGTAGGGAAGACAAGCTGCCATGGGAGTCTAAGCCCTGGGTGAGGCCACCAGGACGTGTGGTCAGGCAGGGTGGGCTGGGCTGCAGGCAGTGGGAGCCAGCCTGCCCTCCATCCCCCTGTCTGAGGGTCATCGAGAGGCTGGGTTTTCGGTGACCCCAGGCGTGACCTCAGACTAAGCCAGCTACAGTCAGTTTTTCACCATGAAACACCGTGGAACTGCTGTGGTTCAAGGGGACGAATAGGAACCTGGATCCTCCCTTTCCAGAAGGTTCTGCAGAACTCCACTGGCAAGCTTCTGCTTTAACCTGTGCCCTTTGCTTAAGGCTGAGCCAAGAGGGAGATGGCAGCTCTTCAGGGACTGAGGGTGTGAGGCTGGGGTTGGGGCTCCCCAGGGACAGGGCTGAGGACAGAAGGGGCATCGGCACTGGGCACTGGGGAGCGACGGGGAGGGGTGCAGGAGGCTCTGGACTTGCTGTCAGGCCGTCAGGTGACCCTCGTGTCTGCTCTGAGAATGTTCTGGGTGACCAGTCACCTCCTTTCTGATCTGATCAATAAACATGTCAGTAAGCATTTCTTCAAGCGGCTACCTCTCTGGCGTCTGTGTGTTGGGCTTGGGAGGAGAGGAGGATGCGGGTTAGGGTCCTACCCACCGTGCTGCCAGCTCCTTGGCTCAACTTCTGGGAGTGACCCCAGTGCCATGACCAGCACAAGGCAAGCAGCTGATCCAGCAAGAGGCCTGGCGTGTCCTACTGCCCTGGGCCGCTGCCTGCCGACATGGCCATCCACCATCCGCAGAGGGCTGGGCCTTCCTCGTCCTTCCTTCCCCTTCCTGGGCCACCTCCAGCTCGCAGGAAAGCTGAAGAGGGGTCAGGGAAGGCAAGGGGACCTTGTGGCAGAGAAGGGACTTCCCAGCAGGCAGGTGCCAGGCCACTGCAACGCCCTTCACTCCTGCCTTCTTTCTTTCTTTATTTTTTTGAAGAAGTTTTGCTATAGGGCGCATGTGCTCACCTGAGACAGAGAGAGACAGAGAGAGAGAAAGTAAGAAACCACCCCCTGGGGGATGGCCATGCCACTATCCCTTCTCCTCTTGGGACTTTGGGCACACATGTACGTGCACCCGATGTGTTTCAAGCTGCTGGGTCTGGGACTTGAACTGGAGTCAGTCGTATGGGAGTCGAGTGCCTCAACCACTCAGCCACCTGCTGGCCCCACTCTTGCCTTTATAAAACTGCAATGTTCCCCAGCCTCAGCGGTCTGATTTCAGGGCCCTGAAATACCACCCCTCTCATCCACGTGCTTGGTGCTGCCTGTGACACTTTCGGTGCTCATTCTCTCCTTCACTCGTTTTCTTTTAACCTGCATGGCTGCCCAGCCATCGTGGACACGGTCCGAATGAACCACACCCCTGTGTCAGTTTTTTCATTTGTTTGTTTGTTGGAATTTACTAGGGGTGTGTGTATTTCCCAGTGAGAGACAGAGAGAAGGATAACGAGAAAGCACCCCTCAATGAGACATGGTCACAGCGCAATCCCTCCTCCTCCATTCCCCCTCCCTTTGGGATTTTGGGGATGCACACACATGTGCCTGGCATGTTTTTCAAGCCATCGGAGCTGGGATTCAAACTGTGTTATTGGCCATGCAGGATCCAGCTCCCTTAACCACTAGGCCACAGGGCTGGACTGAACCCAGACCTGTCCCTGACAGCTGCTATTACCTGGGGAGAAGTAGCAGCGTGGACAGGGGGGCCCACCTCCGAAGGGAGACACAGAGCTCTGAGCAGGAGGCTGGTTCCACCCTGGCACATGGGCCAGGGCCCCAGGGAGACCCCCACCTTCCAACTGTACTCACGAGCAGCCTGGGAAGACCTCCTGGGGCTTCCCCCTGAGCTCTGACTCTCCCCCAGAGCTGAGTGGGCCACCAAGCCATTTTATAGCTGAAAATAACGAAACTGTCCCTGGACCCAGCAGCCCACTGGCTCTCCTTAAAAGAACTCCCTTTGCCCAAACTGGGATGTCGGAGCCTCAGTCAGGGTGCCGCGGAGATCTCGGACTGGGGACATGGGGACCGAGGCCAGGTCCCTGCCCTGCCTCAAACTGTCAGCACAGCCAGGGAGAAGAAGGAACCTCTACTCAGCACCTTCCAAACCGCCACTGGGCAGGGTGCGTCCCCACCATTATCTTACCAGGGCTAGTCATTAGCTGCATTTTCCACAGATGAGGAAACCAGAGAGGGGATGTAACTCCTCGAGGCCACATCTCTGGTGCATGGCGAGCCCGGATGGGAACCCAGGAGTCCTCTCCCCAGAACCCTGGCTCTCCCTGGCCCGGATGCCCGAATGCTCTCCTGGCCTCAGTTTCCCCATGTGACAAGTGACCTTCCTACACTGCCCTTCTGCACTCTCCTTGGCCAGAGAGAATGTTCTCCCTTGTCATTTACCCCCTTTGGAAGTTTCTGGCACCGAGTAATAACAATCGTAACAGAGTAATGACCACCTCAGACCAGAGCCCTACCGGCAATGGCTCACTGCAGCCTCGCAGTGGCCATTTGCCGTGGGAAAAGTGAGGACAAAGCAGTTAGGTGACTTGCTCAAGGGCACCCACCAGGAAGTGGCCAAGGAAGGCCGTCCTGCCTCTAACATCTGTGCTCTTAAAGACCGGAGTTTCTCAGAGGTAATCACATTGCTTTGGGGTGCTTATAACAATCTAGATACCAGGCCACCCCTGAAACCCTCACTAAGCCACGTCTAGTGAAAATGTAGGAAAAGGGAGCAGGAGGAGACAAAGGGTCAGAGCAACACCACACACCTCGGCACGCGCCCACATTCCCCACCTGGCACCTGCCTCCAGTAGTTCCTGGTGCCCTGGCTAGGTACCTGTGGGGACTTGCTTCCCTTAGAGCAAGAAATTACTCCCTGGGTGCTGGAGTCGGGGCAGCAGGTTCATATGGAAATAGTGGTCAGTTCCAGCCAATCCCAGAGCGCTTGTCTCTCAGGCGGAGCAGGGCTTCCAGGACAGGAGCCAATGAACTAATAGCTCAGGTTGAAGGGGCGGGGCCAGAGAACTTTTAAACCCCATGCCAAGGGGCCTCTGGGCAGTGTGGGGTTTGGTAGCCTTAGCCCAGTGTAAGACCAGCATGTCACTGCAGAGGATCGTGCGTGTGTCCCTGGAGCATCCCACCAGCGTTGTGTGCGTGGCTGGAGTGGAGACCCTTGTGGACATTTATGGGTAAGCACCGGAGCCCTGGGGCTTGGAGCCCTTTGCTGCTGACCCCCTTGGGCCTTCTTCCTGGGAGCTCTGCGGGGCGTCCTCAGGACTAGGATCTGACTTGGCTGCCAGTCTCCAGACTTGGCTTTGGACTAGCCGCCTGTCACAGAAGCCGTCAGCTGGGTTTCGTGAAGACCCCAGCCAGGCACCTGAAGTGTAGAAGGCTGACGTGTAGGAGAGGCCCACAGGGGCTGAGCCTCCGTGCAGGGCTTTGGGGTGCTGGTTGCATGGGGCTGGGTACTTTTCTCTATCCAGAGGTCCCACAAGCTGGGCTCAGGGTCTGCCTGGGGCACACAAGAATAGGAAGAAAAGCACATCCTCCAGCTTATGAGCCTGAAAACAGAGCGTAAGTAATTTTTTAAAAAGTCACTTCTACTTACAGAGCACCTACTGTGTGCTGAGCACTGTTCTGAGAGCTTCGCCAGCCTCTGGAATTTAACCCTTAGACTTAAACCCTTGAATGCGCCCTTAGAACGAACCCATGAGCTAGTTTTATTATTAGCAACATCTCCATGTCCGACGGATGAGAGAACCGAGACAGTGGGCGAGCGGCTTGCTGAAGTCCCAGTTACGAAGTGGCAAAGCTGGAGTTTAACCCATTCACGTCTTACTCAGAGTCACATGCCTGGCTGGACCTTCCCTGCCTCTCAGGTTGGTTTACCCCAGCCATTCAGCACCCACACGTCATGCCCTTGCTGTGTGCCAGACTGTGCCTTTAAGGTCCAGGGAGACAGGAGGTGAGACTTTACCTTCCTGCTCTCCTAGGAAGAGGAGACTGGGGAGGGATTTAAGAGGGGTTTCTTGGGAGCCACCAGGAGCTGGCTTCTGGGATTTTTCTTTTCTTTCTTTTTTTTAAGAGAAATTTTTGCTATCTGGATGCATGTGCTCACCACAGAGACAGGGAGAGACAGAAAGAGAGAAGTCATCCCTCCGAGGTATGGCTAAGCCACAATCCCTTCCCCTCCATTCTTCTCCAGGGATTTTGAGCGTACACACATGAGCACCTGGCATGAGTTTCAAGCTGCTTGACCTGGGATTTGAACCATGGTCGACCATGTGGGATTCCAGTGCCTTACCCACTGTGCCACCTGCTGGCCCCTGCTTCTAGGTTTTTGGGGCACCTCTGGGGTCCAGCTTCAAAGTAATTGGGATTCGGGGATGGGCAGGTGCAGAACTGTGTACCTTTCCTGTCTCTTGGATCCTCTGTGGTGTCCTCAGACCAAGCGTCTTTGCCTCGGCACTGCTGACGTGCTGATTCCATGTCAGGGGGCTATCCCGTGCATCATGGGAGGTGAGCAGCTTACTGGAGGTCAATAGCACCCGCACCCTCCCCTGTGACGACCAAAAATACCTGCAGACATTGCCGCATGTGCCCTGGGGCAGAGGCACCCGCCTGTGGAGAGTGGGCGCCCCTGACTAAGGCTCTAAAAGTCAGAGTGCACTTGGTTGGAATCAGAGTTGGCTGGTCCCGGGGCATTGGACAAGATGGGGTGAGGGTCGGTCACGGAAGGCACCCTATCTGAGCAGGCCTAGCTCGGCGCGGTCCCAGGAGCTCGAGCCTGGTTGAGGTGGGGGGTGCATTGAGGCACGGGAAGGGGATTTAGTGGCCCCTGAAGGAGGGGCAGCTGCAGAGGCTGTGCCAGAAAGGCAGTGCGGGAGGAGGGCTACCATGCTGCCTGGCGCCATGGCCTGCCTCAGGGCTGTGCACCCGTGAGAGTGACTCACCTGCTCCAGCCGCCTCGTGCCTGTCGGGCAGATGTGTCTCCAGTCTGACCCACTCTGGAAAGCCGGGGATGGCTCCTCCCCAAGAGCGTCATTGGAGGATGGAGTCAGACTGGGGCAACGAGAGGCAAAGGTCGCCTGGGGGTGACCGGAGAGGGATGGGCTAAGCAGGCTGTGAGTGGGGCAGCCACAGAGCAGGGGTGGAGTCTCCAGCTCTAGAGAGGCACCAAGGGCATCCAGATGCTTTGGGGTGCTTGTGAAGCAGATAGCAGGCTGCACCCCTAACCCACTGCATCGGACTGGAGGGATTCCGATGGGCCCCAGTGACCAGGCCTGGGGTGGCGGGAGCTCCTGGCTCACACCCCAGCGTTCCTCTGGGGTCCATTGTGTGCCAGGCACTGAGGACGCAGACAGCAGGGCACAGCAGGCCTGGCTCCCGCCTGGGAGAGGGTGCAGCCCGACCGCCTGGCTGTTACTTCACGCTGTCGGGCCGGGCCG